CAGGGATGGAGGGGAGGCTGACAGGCCTGGAGTTTCCTGGCTCCTCCTTCTTGCCCTTTTTGAAGACTGGCGTGACATTGGCTTTCTTCCAGTCCTCAGGCACCTCTCCTGATCTCCAGGACCTTTCAAAGATGATGGAGAGTGGCCTAGCGATAACATCCGCCAGCTCCCTCAGCACTCGTGGGTGCATCCCATCGGGGCCCATGGATTTGTGGATGTCAAGTTTGGACAAAAGATCTCTAACCTGATCCTCCTCAACCAAGGGAGAGTGGTCTCCAGTGTCTGGAATTCCTCAGGACTGGCCTTAGCAGGAAAGACTGAAGCAAAGAAGGCATTCAGCAACTCTGCCTTCTCTGTATCCTTCGTCACCAGGGCACCCACCCCATTCAGCAGTGGGCCCATGTTTTCCCTAGTCTTCCTTTTGTTATTGATGTATTTGAAAAACCCCTTCTTGTTGTCCTTGACGTCCCTTGCCAGATTTAATTCCAGCTGGGCCTTAGCCTTCCTTGTCGCATCCCTGCACGCTCTGACAACGTCTCTGTATTCCTCCCAAGTGGCCTGTCCCCTTTTCCACATTCTGTACACTTCCTTCTTCTGCTGGAGTTTTGCCAGCAGTTCCTTGCTCATCCATGCAGGTCTCCTGCCCACTTTGCTGGACTTCTTCCTCAGAGGGATGCACTGATCCTGAGCCTGGAGGAAGTGACGCTTGAATTTGTGCTTGTATTTCCTACTGTTATGGTACTACCTGAGAGCCTGATGGTCCTGGTTTTTGTTTCAGTCTGCTCTTCTTTGGAACTGAGCTAGGTAGAAGAACTGTAGTCAAATCTTCTCTCCCAAAGTTTTTACCTATTTTGCAGAGGTTTGTTTTTGTTTTTTTTTTTTTTTTAAGTTTTATTGTGCATTTTTTCTGGGCTCCACAGCGTTCAAGAACATCTACACAGGTACACTGCTCTTCAGGCTCAACTTTTCTCTTACGCACTTAATGTGCGCATGTACACATGTGCATGTGTGCAAATAGACATATATTTTTTTTAAGGCTTATTAGGCATTTTGTGGTGGTGGGACAGGGGGGTGAATCCTAATCAGGCAGGCTTGTAGGACTTGGCTTCCTGACTGCACCTGTGTGGGAAAAGGAAAACAGTAAGGTTAAGTAATTCCTGGGTTGTTTTGTTATTAAAGAGGTGCTTTGTTTTAAAATTAACTATTAGCGAGTTTTCATATTTAGTTTTAAAGCTTTATTGTTTGTGGACTGAACATGACTACAAACTCAAAAGAGTAGTGACAATGGATATTTTAGGAGAAAAAGGGAAAACTTGTTCTGTACCACAGATTTAATAAATGGTTATTTTTTCTTTCAGTTCATACAATGTGTAATGAGCATCTAAGTTGAAAAGAAGGAAGCCGTGGATCATGATGATTACCATTCCAGTTTCTTTTGCTTTGCCAGAAGTTACCATGATTGTGTATCTTAATATTGTAATTTTCATATTTTATGAAGTTACTGAATTATGCACTTGCCTTTATTTAGTTTTAATAATGAATATAAACTAAAAATGTACTGTCATCTTTAACTTTCAGCCTCTGACTATTAAAGATTTTTTATTTTACATAAACTTGTAAGTCACTATGTAGAACTCAAATTATGTAGACAGTAAACTTTTCTGTAATGTGTTTACTTCACTAAAACCGGTTCCTGGAGAGCAACTTAACTCGTTTCTGACTTGAACGGTATCATGTGGCTGGTGATAATATATAAGATGATACATATTCTTTTGTCTTTGACAGTGTAAGACAGACGTACAAATAGAAGGAGTGAGCTTTTGGAATCATCGTTTTACTGTGATCTGTTAGAACATCAGTAAATTGAAGTCGCTTGTTTTGACAGCTAGGCATTTTTGGGATGAAGTCAGTGGTACCAGGCGCAAAGTGTAAAATGACCGTATTAGAACGTCTTGTAAGCAGGGCTGTGTAGAACCATAGCACAGAACTAGAACCCTTTCAACAGGGTGAACTTGTGTATGGTGCTTTTATTCCAGAAAGATTATCATTCTGTTTGTGTCGATATATAAAACGCTTCTAAATGTTTTAAAAACTACTCGCTGTCAGTTTATATATTAACATTCCCTTTTAACTATGAACTTACACTCTGTCAAACTAGTTTCATGTAAATTAATGTTTTGTCTCCTCCTCTTTAAAGCCTCATAAGTACTCTTCCTGCCTTTGTATAAACACCAAAACTCACTTTGAACAACTCTTGCTAGTCTCTTTCAGATCACAGTAAGTAATTACCTCTGCTGTGGACCTTACATGAGGACAGCTACAGAAAGCCAGGACTCTTTGGCCTGAGATTTTCTGGAGCTGGAACAAAAATTATTTATAATAGAAAGAAAAAGAGCCAAGTTTTCTTTTTCTTTTTCTTTTTCTTTTTTTTTTTTTTTTTTTTTGGAGGGGAAGAGTGGCTGAGGGAGAATCATAAATAGATGGAGTTAGTTGAAACTTTTTTCCACTGAAATAAGTTCATGGAGTTTTGGTTAATTTTCGTCTGCCTGCCACAGAGGAATGATAGAGGCTTTTTTCCTAGCTTTACTGATGCAAAGAATGCCAGATTCATGTTGTGAGAAGAATTGTATTTCTTAGTGGTTTAGGGCACTTTTGGCAGAGGCATACTTCTGGGGAAGAGCCTTTGCCCTTAGGAATGAAAGCAAAAAATAAGTGTGAAAGGAAAAAGTAACTGTATCACTAGACAAGCAATTGAAATACTCCTCAGGGCAGAAGGCTTGCTGGAAGATGTGATTTTTTTTTTTTTTTAAAAAAAAAAAAAACCCTTGTGAGCTGAGAATAGTATGGAATCCAAGTCTGCGGTTTCTACGCTATAAATACAAATTGGGCTGGTACCACCTAAAGAAGCAAATAGTGCTCGCTTCTTAAAATGAAAATCCTTTGTATAATGCTTTTAGTTTCATTTCAGAAGCTAGTTCTTCCTGCTATGAAAAATGAATTTTAAAGGCATGGGCATGGTTGTACTTCCACATTCTGACTTGTACACTGGTTTTTTGCATGTAAAGTTGGGAAACAGACATTGAATGTTATGGAGAGCCTTTCGAATGAAACAACTGAAATCTGGATGCAGGGGCTTGACTGAAGCAGCCAACAGTAGTTCTTCTGCAGTTCGAAACTTTTATAGCTGAAAAACTAAGAAGGAAAGTGTGAAGCAAAAGGCCATTCTTCCTGTCGGATTTTGATTAGACCATATCCAGTATCCTTATATGTTAATTGCACCCTAAAAATGATGAGACTTCTTTACCAAAAACTCATTACCCACGCAACTTTTTATCTCAACGTTTATCTCATACTTTTACTTAGTTATGTTTCTGAAACGTCTGATGACTACATGAAGGAAAACATTACATGATAATTAGCATAACATTCTTGCTGTAGGTGAGTGTAACTTACTAGATGGTTTGAGGCCCCTGGAAGTTCCACGGTCCATCATAGGTAAGAAGTTATGCTATACGTCATGAGACTCACTGATGAAATAATATGCGAGACTAAAATTGCACCTATGAATAAAAGGCTTGAAAAACGCGTTTAGCTAAAATCTGGGCTGGGAAGCAAAGTAGTCGTTTGTTAAAGTAGAGTTAATACAATATTTTGTTTCCCAAAATACAACATAGGTAAGGATTTGGTAGGATGGCCGCTATTTGTCCTTGTTATTTATTTATTTATTAAGTGAGGGAGTATAACTGATGCTTGTAGCACTGTAAGAAGAGCAGAATGTTGCTGAGGACAAACGCTCCCAAGTTTTCTTCCTCAGTTTATTTCCCCAGGCCAAAATATTATTTGAGCGCTGACCAGCTACTGGGCCGCAAGAGGCTGCAAGAACAACTGCACTGTGGCCCAACAGGATTTTCTTCAGAGATCTTCTTAGAAGCACTAAACAAAGAAACCCATAAAACAGAGCTCCACAACCAGGAACAAATTCTAGATAACCAAAGGAAGAGGTGCCTTGTGTTGTCCATATGCATTTCAAAAACCGTGGGGTTCACAGGGACTGATAGGCTAGATCATCTTTCCTGTCTATACAGATATAAACTGAGGTAATAAATATGATTATTATTAAGTGACTTTAAGCATATGTTGCTGTCTTAATTAAAAAGAAAAAGAAAACCACTATGCAAAAATGGCTTACCTATTAAGACTACATTCAGCAAGCAAGTTGAAGATACTATCTGGTTGCTTTAGAGAGAGACAGTTATCTCTAACTTAAGACTTATGAAGGTTTCCCTTTCCCAAAAGGCATATGGGTGATTGCTCTTGACTTTCATGCAAACAATTGGGAATAGTTTTGTTGCTGTGGACTTAGTTCTATGCAATAGTAGTCTGTAGTCTACAGAAATACATGATTTGGGTGATTGTACTATTAATAGGGGGGAGAAAAAAAAGAATTCACACACTTTTCTAGGTTGCCCTCAGACATGCAGAGCTAAGGAACAATAATTGCAGATTTATAACAGTGGGAGCTCATAGGACCATTTTCAAATCTGCAATTTAAAAAAGTGCAGAATAATAGCTTGTAGATTCTTTTACTCTCCATTATCACTTTTTCCCATACAATCAGTGTCACTTTTTTAAGAGAACATTAAAATAGGATGAAGTGCTAAATGTGAAGAGTTGCAAGAACAAAACACACGAGAGTCTTTGTCATTGAAAGTCACTTTACTGATGTTACAGTATGTTAGTAACATTGAAAACCACAGGCATTTGTATTAAATACTCTCATAGAAGTGGATAGTGTGATGCTGTTATTAAAAGTGAGCAGGAATTTAGAACCCCAAATTACAATGATTTTATTTTATAAAAAGCAACATTTTGTTTAGCTACATCAAAGCCAGATTCATTCACTTCAACAGCCCAATGCCTGTAATGTTTATGACAAAAATATCACACTCAAAGCTACAAAGTTGTAAATTGCAATGCTTCATTTTGGTGTTTGTCAAAATCTTTTGTTTCTATTATGTCATGTAAGATTTTTTTAAAGGATTTTAACTAGCAAAGACAACAATATGATGTAGATTGTTTTTGCTAACGTTAGCCCAGTCCCAGTGGTGAAACAAGATTCTCTTTACCTCTCTAAACATTTTACCAGTAGGGGGCTAGCATCAGTGAAAAAATAGATAGCTTTTTCTTACAGCAATGCCCAAGATCCACGTTAGCACAAAATGAAGCTGGCAGAGCTAACTGGTACATACCACCCCAAAAGCTTTGCTGAAAGAACTGGTCATACTGTAAATAGTGTTTTCTCCAGCAGATTAAAAATTCTGTAATGCTTTGCTATTCTGAAAAAAATATTTTGCATTTATGCAACAATAAAAATAAGTATTGTATATATCTATACAAAACACTACATATTGTAATATATCTTTACCCTTAAGAAAAAAAATCAGGTTATATATTCACAGTTTGAATATGTTCTGGACTGTATTTCCAAGCATAAAATATGCAGATTCTCTACACAGGCAGTGAGCAGGAGTCCTTGTACCAATAATCAAAATAAATCAGCATTTGCTGTTATACAGAACCTTACAATATTGCATGATTAGCTGCTAGCACCACTCTACCTACAAGGTCAGTCAGGCCTATATACAGGAATTCTAATTTGGTTGTAAAAATAGACTCTCCATGCTAAAGTTAGAATATATAAGGTCTTAAGGCCTCAAGTTAATCTTTTTTAACCAAAACTTTATTTGTTTAATCAGAGGAATACAGAAACAAACAGGAAAAATTAGCTTGTTGCTTTGAAATCTTATGCTTCAGTAATTAAAAATAGTATAAGACATCTATTCTCCCTTTACAGAGTATGTTTTTTAACTGCTTTTCTCTTATTTTCCCCAATCTTCCTCATCTCATTCTGAGTTTTATTGTAATTTCGGCCTGTCTACATAGCAGAAATTTTCTGAACAGTTTAAAGCTGGGTCAGCTAAAGTGATTTTGAAACTGGTGTAGATTTGATTTTAGAGATTTAAAAACACCAGACCTGGCTAAGCGAGCCAATTTTCAAGTCAGGTACAAAGTTTCTCACGGGTGAGAGAACAAACACATTCCTGTTTCCTGAACTTATTTTCACTGCTCGTTTTGGTTACTTGTCTCAGATAACATATTGATGTTGACCACTATAGTTCTTTTCTAAATAGCTGAAGAAAAGAGTTGTGGAATGACAAGATACCACCTGCTGGCTGTGAGAGCTACTTTCCAAAGCTTTAGTTTATATCAGCATCCATACTTGAGTCACCAAAAATATTTTTCGTATACTAACTTGGAAAATATTCAGCTCAAAGGAGTTTTTCGGTGTAGACGGACGAGTAGGTATTACCTTATTTCTTACCATACTGTGAGAGTCCTTTTTGCATTGCAACTATGCCTTCACAACCAGTTCACTGTTTTCTTCTTTCCTGATCTATTAGCCTAATGGTTATGTCCGCATGGGAACTTTTCTCCGCCATGCAATCCCGGGACAATAAAATGCATATACTTGTGCTGTTTACTTGTATTTGTCTTCAGGAAAAGCCAAAATCAAAATGAAAGCCAAATCCTATACTGCCCAATAGATGTCACAGGGTTTGGACGCCATGCAAATAGTGAGGCGGCAGCAGTCAGATGGACAATCTAGTCTGGGCCAAAAAGATGCTTCAGAGACCAGAATGTTCAAGCTCTTAAAAAAAACGAGAGCTTACCAACCTCACATTGTGGTTGATAAGAGTGGCTCAAAGAGTTTGCTAATGACATGGATATTAAAATAGCTCAGAGGAAGAAATGGATGCTCTTGAGACTTAGAAATAGGAGGATGCAGCACAGCTTTTAAGTTAACAGACTCAGTAATTAAAGAGACTCATCCTTTGAAAATGGTAGAGGATGAGAAAGACACAGGATGGTTGAGACACTAAATGCTGAACCAGTACAAATTGCAAATGAGACATGAGGCTCTATCAATCACCTAGACTCCAGCAAGAGCAAGTAATATATTTACAGCACCGGCAAGACCTTATCCAGGACATCACGTAGAAAGGTTTACACCTTTATAGCACCTTTGTAACTTTGCCTTGATCTTAACCAACAAATACACAAGGCTGCCAGTGGATGTAACTCTCCTTCATGGAAATGCTTTCGGGGTGGGGGTGGGGGGCAGGCAGGGAAACGGACGAAAAGAGAAGAAGAGCTTGCCTACTTTTAAGCTGGAGTTTGATAAGTTTGTTTACAACACCTGGGTACAGGACTCAGTGACAAAGCAAGTCCTAAGAGCAAACCTGTTAACCCATCCGACTGTGGAGTCTCGTAATTGTCTCACTTCACAGCCTATTGGCAAAGGCAAACATCACGTGTTCTCATGTCCTGACAGAGCATTAATCACGCTGTGTATGTCCTCAATACTAAGCAGTGAAATGATTGCAAACTTGGTCAGAAGTATATGCATGTTTTTCATAGCATATGTAGCCATTCTTAGCCCTGATTTTGAGAACAGTCATTACATTGATGTTGACAAGGACGACCCAGTTCACTTAAAATCAGCAGTGGTGATTCAGATAAGAGGACTTGGGAACATATTAGCTGTTGACACAGATTTTTTTTCTTATTTTAATTCTGGCTATAGCCCAACGGCCCATCTGATCGTTAGCACAATCAATCAAAAGTAATTTCATGAGCGCATCACCTTAGCAGGTTCAAGATCTCAAGATAAATCAAGAACAAAACTCTTAACTCATTTAAGTACCTATCTTTAAAGACATATGTCACATTTCAAATCACATAATTGGCAAGTAGTGACTTGTAAGTTCACAACTTATGCAAAGATACGCTATATAGTAATGAACAACCTCTTTATAAACTAAAACTATGTATATTATAACAATAATATAACAAATTTACATGTAAATTATCAATCACAACCTTTTCTGCTATACTGCCCAAGCATGTTCATCAAAAATCTACCGCAGGGATTACCGAAGTTCTTATCTCAACAAATCCAGACTAAGCAGGTAAACTTTTAATTGTAAAATGATGGTATCACACTGCAGCAGCATTATTTGGATATAATCTCTAGTTTTACATCTCCATCAGTTAATCATATTTATTTTATTTTAAATTATACATGAATCTTCTCCCAAATGTTGAAATACGTAACACTAACTTAAGTAAGTATAGCTCATCCTGCAAGTCCTATGCTAATATGAACAACTACTTGTAATGTGTTGGAGATGACATGATGACCTCCCACTTCAACAGCTATCTATCTACAACATAGCTGGTACGAACTAGTTCATTTATTAAAAAAAGTGGGAAAATAAAAACCAGCAAATAAAAGTCTAAATCTGAATGAGTCAGCATGACTGAACTACCTTATTGACAATACAAACACACCATTTTAGACTGGATGAGGTATTATGCGGCAATTTAATATTGCTATTGCCAGTGTAACTAACTACTGTGGTTAAAGAAAAATATTTGCAATCAGCTCCAGGGTTACTAATCTGACAGTTTTCAAACACGCTACATTTTAAAAGTAGAAAACCATAGCATGTAACCACCAAACCACTCCTCTCTTTGACCTCCACTGGCTTTAGAGGCTCATACAGCCCTACAAGTTCAGCTTTTGTGCAACAACTCAATGTCTCCAAGATAGCAACTCAACAGAAAATTCCCTGCAGAACAGTTTTGCAAAAGACAAAGTCTCATGATGTTCTCCCTCTCTTGACCCTCCAAGTGAAAGTCAGTATTTATTTAATTTAAAGTTAGTGCTCACTAGATTTCCAGTCACTGCATATCTCCAAATGTGACAGTGACTGTTATAATTAACACATGCACATAAGTGTATCATCAAATGCTATAAATGAATGATACTAAAACAAGAGAGAAGCTGAAAGTACCTAGAACATTGAAAATACCGTCAGGAGAGTGATTTGTTTTTAAAACAAGAAGCTATGAACATTACACAAACAGTCAGTGTTCAGTTCTGTCTGCCAAATCTTGCTGCTTCTTCATAAGGGAAAAGGGACAGAGATGAGTAAACGATGGTAAACATGAAATATCCACAAAAATTTAACAGGATTATTCAAAATTGCATGCTAGTTTGTATTCAAACAAAGTATTGTAAAAGGCACATGATAAACAGTCCAGTTACTAGGGACAAGACACTAATACGGAAGGAAAAAACAGCTTCCAGGCGGCAGAGTAACATAGAGGCTATCAGGTTAGTATAATTTCCTAATTGGGGTGAACTGCTCAAGGGTCTGGTTCAAAGTCCAGTGAAATCAATAAAAGACTTTCACACTGACTTCAAGTGATTATGGCTCAGGCCTTCATGTCATGAGCTATACTCTAGCAACCATCTTTAATCCAGCTACCTCTACATTCAAATTAAATCTTTGCAAAAAAATATTCTTCAGTGCTGACAGATATTTACTCTTCACAAAAGCGCAGAATCTTTTCCTAAAGCAATGAGAAGTGACAGGCTCCTTCCAGACGCTCTGTCTGCACACGCTGTCCTCACTCATTTGTCTCCCTCCTCAATACTTACCAGAACCTTGTGACTGTGAAGGAAATCGTCTCAACTTCAAGGCCAATTATTGTGTTATCCAGCACACAGCCTAATCACAAAATACAGTGTTTCTAAAAAAATCTTACATACTTTACAGCTGCTGCCCTCTTTAAAAATTCCTTAATTTAACCTTATATATATTTGACTTCATTGAGAGACACAAAAGTTAAAAAAAAATATATTAACAGGCTGCAAGTGTTGGCTCCACTTACTAAAGGAAATACGTGAAAGAGGTAGAAGATTCAGAAACACCTTAGATGCTCCTGCCATAATATTACCTAATCGTTCATACGACTATCGGGCAAGGTATTCTACTGCACCTTACAGAAACAGAAGTTTTAATTCTGTAACGTTACTACCTGAGGCTACAAATTTGTCATTTCTGGAGAGCTGCAGAATTACAAACGGATTTAATATGGCCCATTTTTCTCACTGAATGAAAATTTCCAATCAAAAGACCACATTTATTTTACAATATCCTTTAGAAGTCTCAGGTGTTAGAAATCTAAGAACAATGTATCATTCAGCCCTTAACACAGGGACCACTGGCAGTCGGACTAACACACCCGGCTAGACACGAGACCAACACTGCCAACACGGTGAAGGCTTTTTTTCCAGGATTTTTTGGGGGGGCTAAATTCACTTGTACTCAGGTTAAGGCCCAAATAAATTGTAAAGGGGATTTCAGGGACAGGAAGCACAGTATTCTAACACATGGTAAAGGAGAGTCTAGTAACAAATGAAAATTAAAATTATTATTATTTCATTAAAATGAAACTGGCCACTTGCCCAGCACTTCTATTATCTAGTGTAGTGAAATCATTATGCCTCTCATAAGCTACACCTTGCCATGTAAAACAGTGTCTGAAATGCTTTACCAAATATACACAGTAAGTGTCACCAAAAGGACTTGCCATTACCATGGTCTGAACTGACTGCTTAGAAGTACTCCCAAACTTGCAGTAAGTTTGTACTCATCATTAACATCGTTAGTTAATTAGTTAATCATTAGTTAAAAACGCTTTCTCTGTTGTTTGCAGAATTAGTCTCAGTTACAGCTGTGTGAGGATACACCAGTCATCATACTGAGCAACGTGTTTTGGCGGGTTCCTTGGATGATGGTTTAAGACAAAGTGTCACTGTACTCTGCTTTCTGCTTTCTGTGAGATACCATTGAGATGATTGTCAATTACTTAAAAGAGAGATAGTGTAGATTTTGGTCAAACACCAGTATCTGAGACACATTTTTACAGTACTGTTATCGTTTGTATTTCCAAAGTTGTCTGCTCGTAATATTAAAAAATTTGAAGTGTGATGATGTTAGTCATGACTATTTCCTTAGGCATTTGGCAAAATATACTTATGTGTAACAGCTATTTTTGACATTATCAAATGTTTACATATATACAATCTGTATACTGAGATTATAAACATGTAAGGTAAAAAAAAAAAGATATAATCCTTGTTTGTTTGAAGTTTATGTAAAATATTTGCCTTTCAAAGCTTGAGACCCTGTCACAAAAATCTTATATTTCTTACTCCTGCATGCTAATTTCTACTACAGTACGTTGTTTTTCCCTTACATGTGGAAAGTAAAGAACACAAGGTTCATGCATACAGCGTACATGTTTACATCATCGGCTGCGTTCTTCAGAGCACTCAATCTCAATTCTGGTTTGCTCTAATCTGGAACTGCATTAAATCAAAGAAAAACCTCTCTTACTTGGGACTTGTAAATTGACTGCAGCTGTAATTCTATATAAGTGTATTTGTCATCATGCGGCATAGCTTTGTCACGTCCAGTCTAATTATCCCCCGTTAATTTTTATGATTCCGGTTGCTCTTTACATCAAATTCATCAAATTCTAGTCAACAAAAAAGGACTGCTTTTTCCCTTCCAAAGGAGAGGAGGTTGTCACCGTGATCGCTGGCGTCTCTGTTGATCTTTCAAATTGTCTGAAGAGCAGATGAATGTGCAACGACTCAGTGATGCTGAGTTCCTATAAAATTTGCAGTAAACAGTTCTGATGTCACCCCAGGGAAGCAGCGCAGCTAAATGGAAGTCTCCCATAGCTGGAGAGGGAAAAAAAGGAACACAAACACACTTTACCAAAGGAAAAAACAGGCCGTTACCTAATCAGCATCAGGACCTTGTTTGGGGGGGGTCACAAACAATAGGAAGGTTGGTCTCATCCTAGCCTCTAGTGGGTATCTGTTCAGACCACAGAGTCAGCAGATTAACTGGGAACGCTTCCGCAGGGCTTGCAGTCGGCATAACAGCGGCCTAGGCCTGGGGGAGTAGAGTTTAAAGGAAAAATGTCAGTGTAACAGCACCTTTGTACCGGAAAGTTTTTATCCTACAGTTACGCTAACGAGCAGAAGTGTTAAAAAGGGTGGAGAGCAGTGATGGGAACCTTGTCTGGGTCAGGAACACAAACTAAAACAATCACAGGTAAAACTGCAAAAGTAAGCACCAGGGATTTTCTGGTTACTCAAGTATCTGCTACAGCCACGCAAAGAAAGCAAAGGCCAGCATCGCCCTGCGGCAGCAGCTGCGCGCCTCCTCGGCCGGGACACCAGACTGCACGGCACATCGCAGGGCCCACTGCAGCGGCTCCTGGCCGGCCTTGGTTGCGGGGCAGCCTCCGGGCACAAGGCTGCAAAGTCCTTCCATGTCCACACCGGCTTTATGCAGCTCCACCATGTTTTACTTAACCACAACTGCTCTAACTCTGTGTAACGCTGGAAAGTAATTACGCAGCAGCGCAGGCGCGAGGCTGGCGGGCTGGGCTGGGCGCCCCGGAGGAGCTAACGGAGGAGAGCCAGGAGCACGCCGGGCTCGGGGGCTGCCCTTCCTCCATGGCAGCCAGCCTAGCCCCAAGGCCGCCCGCCCGCCTTAGCCACTGCCAGGCATGCTTCAGGCTTGAAACAGGACAAGTAGTTAAATCTGGGCTTCAGGGCAGTTTCGAGAGCAACCTTAGCAGACAACTGCAAACGCAGCCATGGAGGCTGCTCTAAGCTGTGCCAGAGGCTCAGCCTTCAGCAACTTCTAGAGTTAGAGATAGGAAGGAAAAGCCATTTTTGCTCTCAGTGTTACTCAAGGATGCTGATCTGCCATGCTTTCCTTTTGAAAAACTACCAGCAGATCGAGTCACTGACAAAGCACACACAGAAGAGGGACACATACCCTGGCACTCTGCCTGTTAGCTTTCTTCTCCTCGTCAGGAAGTGGTGGCATCGGGTAAGGGTATTTTCTGCTGGAAGCAATAGATCCAGTGGATGAAGAAGGAGACTTTGCAGGAGAAAGTGTCCTGAGATGTTGAAACACACAAAATAAATGTGATGTCTTTCGGTCCTAGCACTGCAACAGCAACTGCCATTACTCTGAAGCTTGGTTCAGAACCAAGTGTTTACTAATGTTCATTATTAGCTCAATATCAAGAGGGAGTAAAAGTCGATGATAGATCCGTAGTCTAAAATCTAATGACTATAAATAAAGGTATTTATAGCTTTCAGGAACACCAGAAGAAAAATTAAAATTTCCTACCGCTTATTAGAACTGTATTGCATAACAAATGATTTCTGAGCTGCTTTATATAGGACTATAATTAATCACTATAAAATTAACAAATCAAATCTGCAATAGAATAAATAGAGAACTGAAAGATAGACCTGGCATTATGAAGCTTAAGTAGGAACAGTAATAGGATAAATACAAGCTGAACAATATCTTCTGCCAGTGGATGAATAAATGACAATCAATCATCATCAGTGTCTTTACATATATCTTACACATCTCATATATTGATACAAACATAGCAATAAATCTACTGCTCTATAACACCACATTAATTTACACAAATGCATGCACTCAGAGGCCAAACTGTTAGTCGTGAAATAACGAAGGCATATACAAAGTGCTAATAACAAATTATTAGACATGCAAGCATCATACAGTGCATATTGTTCCAGCCAAAGAAAGAGTCTGATGAGAATATACAAAAATGGACTGATTAGTCAGTAGCAATCAGCATTTCTGTACAAGGTGAGTAGAGTAAGCAGTAGCAAGTAAATGTATCACATGAAAGGTATTCTTTTCATGTCAATAAGGCATCAGCACATTATTGACTAAAATTTTATACTCGGGAAAAACTCTTACGCCTCTGTTTTGAGATTCTGCACTTTTCCCACTTAAGAAGTTTCTATCAGGCTCTAAATCTGGGCAGTATAAAAGGAAAAAAAAGCCTCAAAATAGAAAAATCGAACTACTCTAGCTTTTTTGTTGTTCTGCCAACTGAGGGCATTTTTCAAAGGAGGCCTCCCCCTAGTGCGGGCACATCACCCAGATACCCTCTGAGCAATTTTACCTAAAATCTTCTGATATTAAAATGTGCCTGGGGAAGCAATTTATACTTGGGTTCTAAGGCAAATCTTCAAAACCCCTCAAGCACAGCAAGGGGCTGCGTTTTGTGCAGGTGCGGACCCCAGTGATGAGCATCGTTAACATCACCACTGGCACCAAGGAGCAAGAGGAGCCACCCTGGCAGCATCCCCCCCACCCCCATGGTAGCAGCTGTAGGATCCTGTGCTTTAACCTAGGGACAGTCAGGTACGGGGCTCTGGAATTGTTTTAGATCTCTATTAAGTAAGTGTAATTCTTCTACCCTTAAATAATTATTCTTTTATTTTACACTAGCGCATCATTTTACTGTCTGTAATTCCCTGTGACAGCACGCTCTTTTTTCCTCCATACCTACAATGACTGACAGCAGTCACGAGCAAGAGAGTGACAATGGGAATTGCATGGTGACAGCTCCCCACAATGCTCTAATGCCTAACGCTGGAGCCTCAAAGTCCAGCTTCAGCAGCACGTAACAAAACAATTATCTTGGCACCATTTTCCAAATATTGAAGAGTACATCTTCAGCATGTGCATTCTGAGCTCCCAGTAAGACAAACTGGACACACATGAAAGTTTTCAGGAAGAAAATTTTAAACGGCTACTGCAGTATAAAAGAAGGCATCTGCATGTCCAGCATCACAAACCTGGGCACAAAACTGCACAGGCAACATAACAAGGTTTTTTTGTTTTTAATCTATGGAAACGTTCCTGATAGTGGTCAGTGCTCTGCTGTTCATTACACACACAAGTCCTCTCATCTGTGCCCACATTTGGACCGATAAGGTTTCCTAACACTCAAACTATTACTGGATCCAGAATCAAAAAAATCAGAGGAGCGGAGGAAGGGGGGGGGGGGGACAGAGAGGGCAGAATTTATAGATTATCAGTAATCCAATTATTTATTAATTTTGCCTAACAGCTGTAGTAGGATTAAAGATCTTCATGTCTAAACTTATAATGAGGCACTGGAAGATTAAAGAAGGGAACTGAGGGTGACACTTGGTGGGGTACTCTCCATGAGTGAGCTGTTTTCTCACCCAGGTGCAAGGCTGCAAGGCAGCCTGCAGGATGATGCCATCCCTTATGCCACAGCCAGGCGCCATGTCACCTTCTGCATGTCACCAACTGCTCCCTCCAGTTACTGACAAGCCTCAGTGAGGGGCAAAGCCATGGATGGGCCCATCTGCCCATCCACCAGCTCAGGCAACCCCAGAAGGAGCTGTACTCCCCCAAGGATGGGGTATCTTGAGCACTTTCCCTGCACAGCAGGTACCTGAGCAGGATCCTCAACAAGCCTGGAGCTAGACAACTTTGCACTATAACCCAAAACCAGCATAATCTGGCCAGGATTTCTTACAAAAGAGGAGGAACTCAGAATTAGATTCAGTGCTCAAAGGTTAAGTCTGTGCAGCCATCGTCCTTAAAAGAGGTTACACAGAAGTAAGTTGGAGGCAGACATCTCACAAGAGGTCTGTGATTACCTAGTCATGGATATCAAATATCTACTTCTCATTTAATGTTAGGTGTCTAGAGCACAGACATCTGCGTGAGAGAGTCCACAAATGAGCACCAGCAGAGAGCTAAATGGCTAAATTCATATCGCTGAATCACCAGTGGATGGTACCTACAACTTTCCACTGCAGTCAGTGGAGGCCTGCAAGCTGACTAACACCGAACACCTAACTTTGAGATCGCTCAGCTTGTGGTGGGAGAGAAGAATCCACTTTCTGACACAATAGTGGAATTTTATCTGAAAGACTATACGGAACAGTTTTTTTTTTTAAAGACTGGGAGGAAACAGAGAACAAATTATCCCTAATGGAAGTGCTTTTAAAAACATTAGTTCAAACCCCATGCCAACATGCCCATGACAGATTTTGAAGCCCAGACCCCCACAATAGCTTGTCTAAATTTTTTGCACGTTAACTCATTTGCACAGAGCTGCTAGCCTGTGTGGGCACAGCTACAGCAGGTCAGGGAACAGCATGTCCATCCTCCTCAGGCATGTTTCAGTTTACGCCCCTAATCCTTTGGGAATGCAGTTGCACACTTAAGGAAATGACCATGCCCTCCCCTCATAAGCCCTAGGCACTTTTTTCTGCTACACATTTATGTACTGGTTTTTGTCATCTTTAGTGCCACCTACTGAGACTGTGAAAATATATCACTACTTAAGTGCATGCTCAGAGAGCTTATAACGTATCTTATATGACAAGTGTAGTTGGTTGGGTTTTTTAATCACCTTTCAGGTTCCACCCTGCAATTGTGTATGTGCTGTGTATCCCAGATTTACATGTACTTTAAATGAGAGAGCGCCAGAAACGACCTTTCTCATTTACAGGATGGAAGAAGGACAGCATTCAGGGACGCTTGCGGGTAATGCTAAGGTTAAAGGTAGGCAAAACTTTGCAGTTTGGGTTAGGGGTGGCTTCCGTTTGGCTTTCACTGGGGGGGTTAGTTCTGATATCACATCCATTAGCTTCCCTGTCAAATGTTGCTTCCACCAGAACCTATACGAGAAACCAGACATACAGACTGATCTGCAGACTGCATTCGGTCCTGTGCATTCTGTGACAGAATTTCAGAGATTTTACTCTCAACCCTAAATGAAGTGATGCACCTCAGTGTGTTCTAACAACTTTCATTTCTGACCTAGAAGCAAGATCTAGTGGCTAAGTCATGTCTTTCTTTCCGTTCTTGAAGCTTGAACTAACAGTGTATCATACTGGGTTTCAGAGCAAAATGCTACAGAAGCTGTAGGCTATTTCTTTGCGCTCTTTTGCATGTGGATGTCTGCTTACTCTGCTTTCTCTTGACCAAAATTGAGAGAATGTTGGCCCAAAAGAGACAATGATGTTGAAATGCCACAGTCACACAATCAAATTGCCTGTGACTTCCTCAAATGCCGTTTTAGTCAAGTTCAAGGCAGGTGGACCTCACAGATTTCACCTGTTCATGAACTATGTTTCATTCTATGTTTTGTAAACTGTAATAATTTAGTGAAATTCACTTAAAATTCAACTTGGTTAAAGCAGGTCAAGCCTGAGTGTAAATATTATCAGACTGTTCTGACATTTGCTTGTCTGGATTCACGTCTGCATATGACATGACCAGTTTACATTAGCCTACATGAGGATTTTACAGTCTCTTATGGGCATGGGTACAGCTAAGTATTTTAAAGGTAGTTTCTTTAAAAAAATCAGCATATATGCAAGTTTCCTCAGGAAGTGAAGGCTATGAAGAAGTGCAGCAGTAAAAGAGCAGCTTGGTTCTGGGGGAACTGTAGATCAGGCAAAAGCTCCAGACTTGAGCCATTCATTGTAAGCACCACACAGTCCTGCTCCCAGAAGCATGCTTTCATGAACTCTTCCGCTTAATTCCTGATGAAATGCAGATCCTATTCATGCCAGTAGGCTTTCTGACATTGGCTGTCAATAAGGCCAATATTTTGCTTTAGCTGTAATCACAAAAACGCTCTCCTGAAGGGGCAGAGCTTCCTAAGAGAAGGGTGCCTTGGTGGCAGCTTTCTTCAACAGCGAGGCTCCGCATCCGCTACGGATCCTGCAAGCGGAGCTTGCAAGAAAGGGTGATGAAGCTGCCTTTGCCCAGAAGTCTGCGTGTCCCATCTCGTTATCCTGGACAAGATTAGGATGACTCTGAACTGCCTGTTGCCTTTGGTGGTGAGGGACTTACACTGACAGAGCTTTCCAGTAATTGCAGTTCATTATAGCAACTGGAAGGTCAAAGGAGGCCACTCACATTTTAAGAAGGCTAAAAAGAAGTCTTGAGAGAAAGAAAGTGAGGGAGGAATTTTTTCTTTTCTAAAGCAGAGTCTAAAACTGCCTCAGAGAAACAGGGAGATAATGGTCTGTCATGACTAGGGCCTGTCTGCTCGATGCTCACACAGTAAGGCAATGGATGTGGTAGAGAGGCCATTTGGCTGTGCAGCAGAACTATATTTGGCCTAATGATCAGCCGAGGAGGCAGGGAAGAAATCAAGGAAGAAGAAAGCAAGAGTATCAAAGCACAGAAAAATAGGAGGGAAATGGAGAGCCTATTGTCTCCCGCCCACCGTGCCCTTGCCCAGGCCTTCTTGGTACAGGACAGCTATTTCTCCTCCAGGCACGTGGCCTTGGTCTTCATCTAAAAAATCTGTTTTATTTGTAAACTATTTTTACTTTTATACAATGCCATAGAATCTAGCTTACTATAAATTTTTGCATTAACTCAAACACAGGCAGCTTTGTGCGCTTTCCAGTCTTTTTTGTCTATAATTGTCTAAAGAAATGCCACGTTTTGGGATTCTGATAGTTGATTTCCTCAAACCATCATGGTTCCTGAGTCTTCCAAGATTCAGTAAGGATATCAAGTAATCCTTAACTGCACCTCGTAGGGTCAGTCTGCGCGTCAGCCACTGTAATTGGCAGTAACAAAAACATGCAGTAGAATCACACCGGCACAACAGTGAGTCTCCTTCAACAGCTGGTGGTGAGACTCAAGAACATACTCACTGCCTGGAATCTGCGCATGCTCTGAACTGGAGGACTTTTCTGCCTCCCTCAGACCTTCCATAACGAAATATAAATTTAGGGCACAGCTATGATTTGCCCTGGCAACGTACTGTGGGCAAAGTAGCCTGCTTCTGCTGCAAATCCCTAACAAATTACTTTCCTCTTGTAGCAAAAACTGAAACCAGGAAAAGGTTTCCCGCTTGGGTTTATTACTAGAGTTATGCAGCTACATCCTGGCACGTATTTAGACTGTAAAATTAAAAGCTAGCCTAGACTTTAAGCAGGAAAATGAGATTTTTCTTTACAGATCTTAGTTTCTTATATAAAGGAATCCCACAGGTGGGAGCTTTCTGGCACCAGAGACAGTAGGCATGATGATTGTTATTAATAAAAAGTAATTATACAGAGATACCCATTAGACTTGCAGTCTAGAAAAAAAAAAAGTAACTAGGAGATCAAGTGTCAGGGAGACAAATTCTGGTTTATGTAGATTTTTTTAACCTGATGAGGAAGGTCTTTGAGATACCTAATAGCTGTATCTTCTGAAAAAATCTATATCTTTCCTGGGAATTCTTGGAAGTGTTTTTTATTTTCTGATTATATTTTAACTCTGCCACCTGCAACAGCACCAGTCATCAATGTCCTATTCCTAAAGCTATAAGGAGACAAGCAAAACAGCAGCGTTCTTCTCAGGTACCTTTAAAGGAAAAGAAAAATCAGAGAGTAGCAAAAAGAATATACTCAGGTAATTATCAGGTATAAATGTCTTATCTTGGGCTATGAGTCCTAAAATCTAGTATCTGTTGGACATATTTTCTTCAGTCTGATTAAACAAGATGTGGTTTGTTTTCTCCAGCTCTTTATACATGAAGCAGTCACCCCTTAGTCATTTTCCTGAAGTACTGCAAGGCTATTTTGTTCATGAACTACTCCAAACGATCCAAAAGCCGCCCACCATATTCTTTCCAAACACACTGTAATTACAAACAATGTTTTCTTGCCAATGACAGATTAACCAAAAATTGCATCTGAGTTCTGAGGAGAGACTGCAGCAGCCAGTATAACCTCTCATAAGCCCACAACAACTCATCCCAGGGGAACACTTGATCCTTTCCCTTCCTTAATATGCCTGTGGAATACTTCCCCACAGTTGCCTCAATTAATTAGTATACATAGGTTTCTAAAATTATTTTAGTTTCTCTCTCATTTCTAAATCTAAAGCTGCTGCTGTAGGCAGTCATTAGTAAGCTTCTATGTAGTAACATTTTTAAGTTAGGTTCATCTCTGTTCATATAAAGCCCTTAAAACTGACAAGGATCAGTTTAGGCCATCTCTACAAAGAAAAAAATGCTCAGCTTATCTCGAATACAATTAGAAAAGTGACTAATCTGGTGCAACAGCGAAAACCCTTGGGTGGGTACACCCCCATCAATTTAATCCACTTGCTAAATCAAGATATACTGATATAAAAAGATGAAAACCAAATTAAGAGTATCCACACAGGAATTTGGACCCATTTAACTAATCTAATTAAAGTAACATATTTTAAACTAGTATTATCTTCATATTTCATCAATGACTTCATTTATTGCAGTCAGAGGGCTTCTGATATGAACACCCAGGAAGACAGCTAAGGGCTAGGTTATAACGGGTGACTACGATCGCACTGGCTGAACAACAAAGGTCCAAAGTGTATTTTTAAGAAAAGGTTTCATTTCTCTTGCTAATAAAAATGCACTTCATTTCTAGTGTGAGCTTGCCTAGTTTCACCTTTCAGTAAATCCTGGTCATTATCAGGCTTGATCTCCTAGTCTGAAGGACCCCTATAAAGGTTTTGCTCCATTTGCACATATGGATTTTATGATCCTTGTAAGCCTTTAACTGCTCCATTAAACTAAACAGCTTGAGGTCCTGAAGTCTCTTCTACATTTTTTCAGGGCTATACGCTTAAGCCTCTCCAGTTCTTGAGCGCGCTTCTTAAGCTGTGGACACTGGAAAGGACATCGTATCCCAGTGCTAAAGCCAGCAACAGTAAAACTACAGGACTCGCAACCACTGCATCAAAACGTCCAAGCACCAAACTGAGACGTGGCTCATGCTGACTGGCACAACTTACATCGGTCTCCTTTAAATCCTGAATTGTTGTGTCAGGACTGAAGTCAGAACTGGCAGGCTTAAATTTACCTCATTTGCCCTATTTGCTCTTTTGAAAGCTTTTCTGCATCAGTGATTTAAGAGGTCTTGAAAGCAAGTACAAATGGTGTAAAAAACTTTTTTGATAGTCCTTCTAATGTTTTTGGGCAGGGTACCTAGTTCTAAAAATGACTAAGTTCACAAGCCGGTGTTTAATATCTTCCAGTGTTACTACTGGAATAGAAAGTGTTTCATTAGCATCCTGTGACACGACTCCATCATGTTTTTTCCGATGAACACATTAGACTTATTTACTGAATGTTTCTGTCCTTTTGGACTCTTACTATGTCTCCTGGTGTATCAAAATTCTTGTTAAGATTCTATTTACTCCTTTTTACTGTCCCTAACTCTTCTTGCTCATGATTTCTCTTTTTATTCTTTTGCTTGTTGTTTCTACAGTTCTTACTTCACCTGCATATTTGTTAAGTCAATTTACAACTTCTCTGATTTCTTTTGTGTTTTATATTGCTTGTCATAAACTGTATTCCTTCCCTCCTATGCTAGGCTGTTTTTTTTCCAACTGATGCAAACTTCATTCTCAGCTGTGGGTTTGTCTTTTGGGAATCTACTAAAACGCTCTTGGTCTCATCATTCATGTACAACAGGGAGGACAGCCTCGCACACGTTTCTGCTCTTTAACTTGGAATGCATCAAAAAATATACATTTTTTTCCCTTCAGAAATATTTTCAAGTGACATTTTTGGTAGAACCCTACACTCACTTGTAACAGATTCATTAGTGGTTAGACATATAGAACACTGAGTATATCTCATATATTTAATTTTCCAATTACAATTATATTAATTAATTCATTGTATTCTGAGGGTAAAATACCACTACTTTTTATTCTTTTTTCATTTAAGTTTTAGTATGCGCTATATAAGACAGTGGGTAGAGTAAATGTATTATGAAACCACTTGCTTCAGTCAATTACATTCTATTTATTTAAGTTACTACTACTTCATTAGTGATAAATGTGTGTCATGCCCATAAAACACTACTTGGCATAAAATGATGAGAAAGCTACTACAAGCTATAGATGATGGTGGGAATGCATGCACTACAAACACCCTTTTCAATGGCTTCATTAAAACATTCAGGAAAAGAATTGTAAGTTGCACATGAAGCCAAAAACAGACATCAAAATGCAGCAAAAGAAGAGGGGCCCTTTGCACCTACAGTAACTTGTATTGATTTATACAAGGTAGGAATCCCAAGATATTTGTATATGCTGGAACAGCTCTTAAAAATGATATAGAATTAATTTACAAAATACCTAAAGTATGGTCCTTCAGTGTTTTTATTCACATCTTCTACCCACTTAGCTACATTATATTCTCTTTTGAACCATGGGTTTAAATACCTGCAGAAAGCAATGGAAGGAACAGAGAAAGCAGAAGAACAAGAATAGAAAATCTGAGAACACACAGCACAAGCTTAGCAAGGATGTCTTCATCCCCAAAATGCAAGTGAATATGGTAAATAAATCAGTATGGATGTTGGGTGAGGACTAGCCAATGTGTACAACTGCATGAGAAAATCTGAACTACAAGACTCACATGTTTGGTTAATCTGGAAATTCTTAGGGATACAACATTCATTTAATATCTTAAGGGTAAAATTCACTCCTCTGTAGAGGGCCAGCATTAAGCTCACGGTCTGGACTTCTCTCACGATCTCAAAATCAGGAGGAAGGGGCATTTTGGCTCCAATCCTGTAATTTGCTTATTGAAGACACAGGTTTGCATCCATTTGCAATAAATTCCTAGATAACAACTTAATGAGCAGAGACTTGGGCTTGGCCCTTTCTACAGGAATGAATTCAGCCTCAGTATGTTTAAAAGCTTTAGTTGTTTGCCACTGCAGTGACAATGTTTACACTTATATGCAAATAAAACCCCAATTTTTCAATGATGGTTTCATTTTGTAGGACCACAAGGAGCTCTCAAGGAGGTGGGCTGCAGAGTTGATCTCACATTTTGCAGAAGTAATCTTGATACCCAAACCACACCTTTTAGAAAAGTCTGCATTACATACTCATATTAGTTACATAAAAACTATGAAATAGAAATGGTGCTTAATTAGCTGACAATAACATTACCAGAGAAAGGGAAAAAAATTTTGTAACTGGTTCTTTTAGTCACCAACAACAAGTATAGCGAACCGTATCACAATTTTTCCTCCTTCTCCTTTATAATGTTAAGAAAAAAGGGCAATGTAAAAACAGCAGTCTGCCTGGTCCAACTTAAGTTCTGGTTTTGTTGTATAAGAATGGCAACAGTTTAATAATTATCTTATAGAGACTAAGGCACTCGGATATAAATTGTAACCAAGGAAAAAAAGAAAGAAAATTCCTTTTAAAGTTATTTTTAGTATTTCTGGGTGAGTTCTCACCACTCTAATTTACAAAAGCAGCTCCAACGATCTCACACATGGGAAGAGGCCTTGCAAGGGATTGCTCAGATGAGTACAAGTTAGGCCAGATTATGTTATTTACACCCTGACCGTATTTCAAACCATGTTGAAGATAAAAGCTGCAGCAGTTTTTCAACTTCTTAGGCCTCCTTTTTTGCTCTGGAACGTCTTCTCCCCGCCCCGCACAAGCACAGCCACAGCTTTCAAAAAGTATTCGCCCTCAGCCACAATTGCTTCTAAGTAGCTTCCTCAGCTTGCTTATTTATCAGGAATCAGGAGTGCTTTATGCTTTCCATCTTGGGTTCTTAAGAGAAAAAAAAAAAATGCCAAAAATGGTAGCGCAGCAACGGTTGAAGTGCGAGTAAAGCAAAAGGCTGACGCCAGAATCACCAGGAACTACGAGACTCATGGTTTAGCTTTAATTGTAGGTGTGACTATGTATTTTCTTGGAAATCAAAAATCGCTGCGGTATTTTTGACTTGGTTTTTTTTTTGTTGTCGTTGTTTTTGCATTTGAAGAGGTCTTTTGGTAACCATGAAACACTCCCAATCTGGCTTCCTCTATTCAACGTGGTATCAAAGCATGCAGTTGTTGCACAACCATGTTTGAGATTTTCCGGGGTCTAGTTGTGTTACAGACCATCGTTTACTGCCTAAATTCATCTGCTGCAGAAAGGTTAAGCTTAGTTACCGCAGGCCACTGACATCATTAGAAAGCTCTCAGGCTCATCTTCATGGCCACACGTTCATTAGCGATGGCCAGAATCCACACTCTCTTTGAGGGAGAAATTCCGCTTAAAATAAAGCTGTCCTGACACGGAGACCTAAAACTAGACCAATGGCTTGATTTGGCTGGTAGCGCAACATGCAACAATGCGAAAGACCTGGGTTCAACAGTAATCATACTCCTCAGGCTGGCAAGGAGGAGTTAGCTAGCGCTGCATCAGCAGGAGCACCTCCAAGCAGCCAAGGTGTTTTGCCACAGTGAAACTATCGTACACTGAGGGAAGGGACTTTCCAGGGGATAAAATGGCAGCCCAGAACGCAGGGGCAGGTGAGACTGACCTGTGATCCCGACTCCCTGTTTGGGGGTGCTCAGAACCCCCTGGGCTTATGCCTTGGGTCGGGATTTGGTGGGCGAGAGAAAGCCCAGGCTCAGATGCATGGGTTACCCTGCTGCAAAAACACAATATATAACAGAAAGTCTAAGCCAAAGATGTTTGTATCAGTTATAACAATGAGGAAGATAAATGCTTAGCGGAAAAGCAATGCAAATTAACAAAGATCAGAATTGCTGTTTGGCAAAACTCAAGTTCCCTGGGACCTGTTTTAACACAAGCTCCCATTTAAACTGTCGGCTTATTCAGAAAACCCTCATTATCTTTCCCGAATAACTCTAATTGATTTTAAAAGAAAACTACTGTTTTATCAGGCCATTTCATCAACACTGTTTGTGAAAACGCTGCAGAAACATTTGGCCCGGTGGCATTCTTTCCGTGTGAACTGAACAACTGCCTTTAATAAAGCACGAGCGTTTTGTTTTAAAATATCTAGAACCAATTTAAAACCTCCCAAAACAGCTTTAAGAGTCTCCTTGGAGCTATGACACTTAGCAGAAGCCTTATATTATGAATCTGTTAGGTATGAAGGGTCACACAAAGGAGTGACCAGTACATTTTCAGGAACTGCCCAGTGTGGCTGCGACCCTCCTGTCAGCACTGTTAAGGAGGGCTGCAGAGCTGAAACCTTGCTCAGTGCTTAAGAAATTTTACTTAAACTGTTACTGGCACAATCCTCTATCCGGCACATACAAAAAGCCTTGTGCATAATATGCGCAGTCACTGCAGACCCATGCTACATCAGATAACACAGTAGTACGGTTGCCTACAAAAATATCTGCTTGTAAAAAATTGGAATTATGCACAAGGTATTGACCAAATGAGTTCAGTCTTCTAGTGGTTAATTTACTGTCTCTGCTAGTAACAGGAGATCGACAGAGTTACTCCTTTTGTCCATCTCAACAGTATGCATCACTGGACTTCCAAGGGTGACATAGGTGAGCTTTCCAAATGCCAGTCACCATTTCAGAATAGAATTTAAGATTCTTCTCTATTTCCCAGAGAAGTTAAGAATTTAAATTTGTCTGGGAAAAGGCTGCACAGAGTCTGAGGATACCTCGGAAGCAATGCCAGCTGCACTGAAGCTGCGCATATTCTGAGGTATCTTCAGAACACATGCAACCTAAACACAGCTGGCATTGCTTTTTGTTTTGCTAAATAAATAAGAAATGTTGGTCATGGTTAGATTATTCATCATCCATTTTCCCTTCTCAAAAAGAAAGCTCTCTGTCTAACCAGACCCACTGCGTGCCCTCAGCAATTCTCTCCTTTCCTCATCATATTGGCATGGCACGTGGTTTGTTCAGTGAAGCCCTCTAGCTGACGGGTGTCAGGCTTGCAGAGTAGACTCTGACCAGCCACGCAGTCCAACCTAAGACACCTCAGAGGACTAGCTGTACAACCCCATCAGGAGAAAGAGCATTTCCCTGCCCAGCAGGTGTCTACTGGGAACACACACGCTGTATTTCATTGCTAACAGTCTCTGCACAGCCCTCAGGAAGCACCAGGTGCTGCTGCCAGGCTGGGAGACAGTAACAAGCAGCAAGAAGGAAAGAAGAGAATTCTTAGGTGGGAATTCTAG